GATGTTTGGGGATGTAGCAATTAATAGTTGAGCACATTGAAATATTTTTCCTTATATACTTTAAAAAAATTAAGCAACACAATCCTTTCAAGTCACGAATGAAAGGAGACGTGGCTTAGTTACAGATTAACCGTTTTCCAACAGGATGAATGGAAGTTGCTTTTTAGAGTGCTAGCATGTCTGAAGGTTTCCATCTAAAATGTCTCATCCATGTGTCAACACATGTGAAACTTTAACAAGAAAAAATAATCATAATATAAAAAAACAATCAGAAACATGTCAAATTTAATTCACTAACCAACTTTACTTCTGATGGGAAATAAGAATATAAAAAGTTAATCTTAGCCCTGAAATTGTGTATTTGGTCAACCATTTTGTTGCAATCTAGATTGTTTGGAAATCCCACTATGCGGGCTGCACTGAGAAAAACACACAAGAAAAACAAAGTTGTAAACTTACATTTTATGGACATGCAAATCTTTCCTGATTTACGGTAGCACGACGGAGTACCCACAGCTGTAAATAACATATCAAAACAATCTGCAAAACTCATCCCAATAAAATCATAAATCCATAACCTTCAATCAAACAAAACAGTAATCAGTTTTTTAAATGACTGAAAAAATATGTATTTTCATTAACAAGAAAAATATATTTGAGAGTTGTAAGCATTTATGATTTGCTTTATTACAGATATATTGTAGACAATCAGGAGGTAGAGTCCCCATCACTAAACCAGAAGTTGTTTTTGCATGGCAGCTTTGTTCCCATTAGTTTATGAAAGTGAGGATGATTTGATATTAAGAATATTGTAAGGTTATTTGTAAAACCAGTTATGGGTTTGGAAATGTTTGAAACTAGAATAATCTTTTGTCACTTTTTCACCCCTGGTTTCACTTTTTGAAAAATCAGGGGAACGGGATAGGCCAGTTTGGATGGAGGATTAGGCATAATTTGGCTTCTGTAACTGCTGGGGTCTCCCTTTTATAAAAACAGGTGGTCTCTGGGTCACCTTTTTTCAATTCACCTAATCTACTAAACAAACCTCCCAGTCCCACCTCCTGCCCCTCTTGCCGTAATTTCCAGCTGCCCCTCCACAATTCCCTCAGACACATGGGAAAGGTTATTTGCACAATTGGTGGTGATTAGCTCTTGATTTGGCTTGTTCTATTTGTGTGACCAAGTCAGTGCATGCATGCAGAAACCAATTCCACTGAGGGCACAGCTGTGGCTCAGCCATGACTGAAAATGGTTGGAGAGAAGCAGACTGGGAGTTGGGTGGTGGAGGAGTGAGGAAAAATAAAAGCATTGAAATGATGGAGTTTGGACCATTCAAGCCACTCTGGTCCTTTGTTTTTGTGGTGGTTTCAATTTTAGTCTCCTTATTGTTGGAAAAACATCTGAACTATTTTATTTATGTTGGCCTCAGTTCTAATGATCTTTCTTAATTTAGACCTTTGGGGCATGACTTCACCCTAATAGGGTCCTGGGGTGGGGTCATGGCCTTAGATCCAGTCACCAACAACATAAGGTCTTCTATAGTTTACACCAAAGTGATTCAAGGGCGTGTTGGGTTTGATGGTTGGGTTGAATATGTTGGCTGCAACCCTCAGTTGGTGTTGGACTTACGGGTTGGCCCAGTGCCTCAACATAGCTGGTGAGGCTAAAGAAAAAGACAACAACGGCTGTTTTAGCCACTACTTTTTCTCTCCTATATTCATCCAGTCATCCAGCCAGGCAGGCAGGCAAGTGGGAAGACCTCTCACGAACTGTGTGTTCAGCCAACTATTCCCAACCCACTTCTTTGGCCTCCCTCCTGCAGTCATATATCAGGATGATGGTTGGTGAAGAACTCTTCATCTAGCCAGACGAATAAAGCAGAGATTAAGTACCCACCCAAATTCATTTAATAACTCATCTAACAGCTTGCGGCATGTAACCTTAACCACTGTTGAAAGGCTGGTTTTCTTTAGTGTTTAATTTTACTCCCACGGACAACAGACATTAAAGGAAAAGTGATTCTGAAAAATGTTGGCATTAATAAAAAATAATGGCACAACCAGATGTTTTTATAGGCAAATTGTTGCATTGAGGCAAGTTTCAGTTACAAATGTGTAACGACGGTAATGAAAGAAAACTAAAATAGACTGTAAGGATTGAGATGCACATTAAAAATAAAGAACAAGTATATTTATTTTAGATACTTCAATTAAAATATTACAATACATAAGCAATGGCTCAGTCTTTTTGCTCATAGGTAAGGTAATCTCTGGTTAAAAAGTTCACAATCCTCTTAAGTCTGTTTTTTTTCTTACTTTTGCACATTGTTCTATCAGTTTTTCTTTTTTATTTTGATGAAATATCCATTAAAACTATTAAAAACTAGTCTCAGACATTCATAGCAACGGCCTTTAAGCTTCCTAGTAGAGCATCTGGTAGAGCACTTGGTATTTCTCAAGTAGCAGATTTTCCTCCGATTTGTTTGATGTAACATTTGCAAGGTAAATACAAAAATAATATTAAATTCATGCAAACGGTTTAAGAAACTGAAATTTGAGGGATTTTGATGTATAAAAAGTAATATTTATTAAAATGAATTAAATAGGTCAAATACAAGAAAATACAAAACTATGGAAACTAAACTATCTGCTATTTCTGTTACACTTTTGAATTTTATGAACATTTATGAGATATGGTATAGCTGTGGTGAATATTGATTGAAGTAAATTTAACAGAATTTTGGCAATAAAATTTCAGTTCCCCAGAGCAAGGTTACAATCACAGTAACAGGAAAAAAATAAATAAAAATCTTCCAGTATTTTGGCAACCTTATTTTATTTAATTTGCGGCGTCAAATCAGCAGCTACAATGTGGCTTCTTGTCAAGAATGCAGCAGTTTGGCAGCAGTTGGTTTGCTTTTCATGTAGAGGTGAACCAGGATGCAAGTGCTGCTTGCGTGCGACAGAGCAGTCATAAGCCACAGAAATAATAATAAAAAAAAATGTCTTTGCAAGCTTACCAGCCCTTGCTTATGATTATGAAAATTACCTAAGCCTGCTAACATGGATTAAAATATTTTTCTTTATCCTTAAAATAAAGCTGCCATATTTAGTGAGCGTTAATGTTTAACATTCAGTCTCCCTGGGAGAGCTGCCAGGGTTGGGAGCCATGAGAGGAGGAGCTTTGTATTGAAAAGTGCCAGGGCATCTGGGAAGAAAAAAAAAAGCTGAAGGGAACCCAGGGAGCTGGTTTCTGCAGAACAGTTGAATGACCTTTTCTAAAATGCTGCCACCCGCCTGCCACTGAAACACAGTCTGGCTAATTAAAGTTTCAGTGGCATTGAATTTTCACTAGCATAGCAAACCTCGGGCAACCTTGGGGGCTCAAAGAGGGAAAAATGGGCGATATAATACAAGAGGATGAGCAGGAACCAAGGAAGCAGCTGAACAGGAGGACAGCCACTAGAGGACAGCATGGCAAATCCAAGCAGGAAAAGACAAAAGCCTTTTACTTTCCATCATATGGAGAGAAAAAAAAACAACATTAAAATGCAAATCCACAATTCCAGAGTATTTTACATAAGCTCTGATGTGTTTTGACCTTTCAAAGTACAGTGTTCAAAATGTTGAGGATCATATAGAATTAGAAATCAAACTGAAACTGCCCAACTGTGTACAAAAGGGGGGGGGGGGAACATTTAGAAAGGCCTAAACCAGAGATATCCAATGTCAAAACGCTGAGTGCTTTTCCAAATCCTATTGGGCTGCCTCTCAACCTAATGGAATCTTGATGGTGAGTTTCAAGAATAAATGCATGACTTATGACACAACTACCGGGAGCATTACCCAATATAGTGGACGGCATGTTCCCGTCTCCAAAACATCATTGAATAATTGGCCACGTTTGACCAGGACATTTCTGGAAAAATGGCCAAGAAAAGGTTATGCAACCAGACAGATTCACTCATAGCCTGCATTTCACAATCTGCTGGCGTTGTCTGCATTAATGATCTTGACCCTCTTTTCACCATGTTGGGAGCGAAAAGGACTTAATAAAGCTGAACAAAGCTGCTTGTGTGTGCGTGTGAGACTGTGTGTGTTTGAGAGACAGAGATACAGAGGAAAGGAAGACCCATGTGACTGTGTGTTACAGCTTGATGAGGGCTTGGTCTGTGATTCCTGGGGGATGTGGTCCAATCTAGGCTTTATTAGGCCTCACTGAGCTGTGTGCAGGGAGGTTTGTGTGTGTCTTCTCTATCGAGAACATTTGCCTGAGCATTCTAAGTACTTCTTTGTGTGGAACTTTAAAATGCACTCAGTTGGTAGCAGCTTAATAGTGCGTGCAAGGTATGGACCTTTTTCATGCTACAGTCTGCTCATAAGAGGTGAACTGCTTAGTTTAATCACACCATTTGTATATACCGAGTACTACTGGTAGTTTTTTTTTTTCTTTTTAAAGCATAAAAGTAGACATATACACACTGAAAAAAAAAACATTTCCAAAATAAAGGACTGTTTAGAAATTATTTTTTGAAAGTAAGTAGTTAATAAAAGTAAACATGACTCAGAATTAAATGGAGAGCTATTGAATTGAAGATGTAAACACATTTTAAATTTGATCTGAGAACAAATGCTGTGGAGTAAAGATATAAGAGTCCAAAGCCATGAAATAATGTGAGGAAGTCTTCAACCTCTTCTGGGAAGAAAAAGGCAACCACCATCCCTAACCTAATTATCTGATTTTATCACATAAATCAAATATTTCTGTCCAGAATTTTTAAGTATAGATGAAATTAATTAACCAATGTACGACTGAATTTTTATGCCAATCCTCATCAATATATTTGGAAGAAAACAGGACCTCTCTACCTGTGACATCACCTTCTAAATGCAAGCACACAGTTTTTTTTCTGGCAGGCATTATCCAACATGAAACTGATTACATTTTGCGATGCAGCCATTTGCGAACGTGAATAAGGTTTGACATCTTTGTGTACTTACGGTTGGCAGAGCTTGATAAGGTCCTGGTCGGTGGTTCCGGGTGGCAGACCGCGAATATACAGGTTGGTCTTACTGAGCTGCTCCGCCCCTCCCTGGCTGCAGCTGTTGGTGCTGGGGCTGGGAGGAGCCATGGGATGAGGGGGTGGAGCATAGGGCTGCTGGAAGAAACACAAGGAGAAAACAACGAATTAATACCAACTGCTAAAACACATTTTCGGGAAAAGTGCTATGTGAGAAGAGAAAAATTTAAAGACACTAAGATGAGGTGGAACAATGTTTCAAGAGGGAGTTGAAAATGTGTGAAACTGAATTATAAAAAAAAAAAATACAGCTTTTGAAGAAACAGGAAGCACTACAAATATGGCATCACAACAATGAAAAGAAAAGACATTTTAGGGCAGCTGTGAGAGAGAAAAGAGATTAAATCACTGTTGCTAAGAGATAAAAACACAACACCACGTAATAAATACAAATCTTAATAACTTCCCTTTAATAGGAAATAGGAAAAAATTGCTTTCCACAATAACAGTGTTCCATAAAAGGCTTTCAGGTGAGATCATGAATGCAGCATATGATTTTTGTTTTCCAGTTCACTTCATTATGTTTTGAGTAAACAGTTCACTGAGGAGGCTCTCACAAATTGGACTTCACATGGCTTCTAGCAGATTATAAACAGTTTTAAATGATGGTGAGTTCCTGCTCTCTGCTAAAATTGCCAGAACCAATTTTATTAGACTGTGAAACAATTTTCACCTCCGAGGGTGTGAGATCCTGATGCAATAATCCACTCCAGTATATTTTATAACCATTTACATATGAATGTCTTTGAGTGTAATCCTCAGCTCACAAAACTTATTCAAAATTTGATTCCACCTTTGTTTTTCCTACTCGACTTTTCCCCATCGCTGGATCTTTTTATTTGCTTGTTGTTCTGTTTGTGTAGATTTATGGTACAGGAGTCAGGGCCCCCTGCTCACAGACCATTTATATCTCTATTGCAGGGACATTGCACATAATGACAGCAAGGGAGAGCTGAAGCCCCATGGGTGAGAAAGGAGAGAGAGGCAAAAAGAAAAAGACTATGTGCAATGCAAAAAAATAAAAAAAATAAATCAAATTCTGCTGTATGAAGCAGAGGAGAAAAAAATGGCCAGGAAGAGAGGAAGACATAACAAAATACCACCAACGGCTCTAGTTAACTAGGTTAACTCTCATCCTCCAAGGGGAGGACCTTAAAACCTTAAACCTGCTGTGAAAACACACACTCGGTTTAACACACACGCACTCACACCATTAGCCCTCCGATTTGCACCACACGTTAACAGCGACTGTTGGAGAATGGCTGATTTGATGCGCTATTTTAAGCGTGTGTGCCATGCCAGCGTGTCTACTCCCACTTCTCAGACAAAAAGCCGGGGTCCCTGGAGCGTGAAGAGGGAGCCACGTCCATCAATGGATGGCCAATTACCACGCTGAGCTAAATGGAGCTGATGGGCAGCCACTCTCTGCGCCATGCTAACACAGACACACACTGTATGCTGGGATACTGATAAGAACATACACAAGGGTAAGAACACAGAAAGAGCTTTCTCCATACAGGTGCAAAAACAGCAACCTAAAACATATCACTAACAACCCAAGACTTTTTCCACTTCAAATCCAAATCATATAATCTAAGATAATCTAAAGATAATGGCACAGAAGACAATTTAATAGCCCCTTCCTACTAACGTATGGGTTTAAGTAAGTTCCATTTCTTTACATGTTATCTATTTAAATGTGTCATTTGATTTTTTTTTTTTATATCAAATTGCAACTCACAGTGGCAGCATATACAAGACATATAGCCCACCACTACATTATTTACACTGAATATTTATTAATTTTATTCAAATCTCCTGAAAAGAGCGCCATAATTAAGTCATGCAATGTCATGTAAGCTGCGTAGAAGCTCTGTCTGCCCTGATGAAGATTAACTCACCTCAGCATGCTGAATTTATGTATTGAAAGACATGACAGTGTAATTTAAATAATCATTTGACCACTTTAGGTACTTGAGGCACTGAACACTGGCATTTCAGACTAAGATGTTAATGAGATCTTTACGTTTAGAAAAAACAATGTCATGATGGAAGGGAAAAACATCTTCAATTAAATGCCTTCTGTCTTGTTTTCTGGACATAGCTGCACAAGCTACAAGGAGAAAGAACACAATTAAGCAACATTTATTAATGGTCTCGTGCTATGGCAACTGTGCATAGGAATTTTAATCTCTTAAATGCTCTATTGAGTTATTTCCACCTTCTTAGAGTTCCTTGAACTTTCACAGCTGCAGTTCAAGCCTCGGCTTTGAGGTTTTTAACTTTGTCTCCCTATTCTCAGCTCTTCATTTTACTTTGTCCAAATTCACTGTGGCCCAATTTACTCACAGAGTGTTGCAAATGTCATCTCACTGTATAGACAGTTGCTGTAGGAGCTGTGCATTAATGCAAAAGTTCCTTCCTTTTATTCAGGCTTTTGTGAAGTTCTTCAGTGATCCACACAGCTCTCTTCCTCTTCTTCTTAGGCTCCAGGCTTGACTTAAATTTTACTCTTTGGAATTCATGTGTCCCACCCTATCGATTTACTTTCATTTTTTAAGGTTCAATGCTGAAATCTTACACAATGAGGCATGGAGGGTCAAAATGAGCCCATTACTTACAGTCCTGGGCGAAGAGGCACAGAGTGAGGTTATCCAAGGGAAAAAGAAAAAAGGCTGGAAAAGTGCTCTGGGATGAGGAATGGGGCGCCTAAGGTGGGCGCCAAAGGTCTCAAGAGAGTGGATGTTTCTGAATGGCTGAAAACTAATAGTAACCAGTAACTATCTTATCTTTTCATGTAATGTTTTAAGAGAATAAAAAAGGCTTTTCAAGTTAATATGCTCATGTTAGAAGAACCTTCTGTATTTAGTTTTAGAGGCATAAGAGAAATTTAGTGGGCACACAGGTCATTGCCAAATAATTCTGCCATTTTAAAAATCACTTGTCCGCAGGCTTCTTTCCTGCCACCCTGGAGGTTAATAACCAAGCTTGTTTCCCTTCCTGGACAGTTTAATGACTGCAGTTTGCCCTCAACCTGTCAGCCTAAAAGATTCCCAAATATACCATAAATACTGGACTCATGTCAGAGTGACGAGGACTGAACACAGCAGTTATAGTATATTTCCACAAGGAGGGGAGGGAGATGAAGGTCGAGTCGTGGTAGGAGGGAGGGAAGCAGAAAGTTAAAAAGAGCCTGATGGGAAGGCTTGAAAAGAGAAACGGAGAAGAGTGGGAGAAAAGCTGGTCATGACACTTGGGAAAAAAAACTCCAGGTGGTAAATGAGAAAACCTCCATTCTGCCGCCTCCCTACCCAGCTGTGACATGCCGCTACGCAGACTTACTGGGGATTTCAATTTGCTGCACTGTATTTTAGACAGGCAAAATGGTTTACACAGGCCCAATTTACCAAGCCAGTCGTGCAGGGGGGTTCACAGCCTGTGTGACATGCCAGGGAATGTTTATGAGTGTATTAAGTGAGGGTGATAAATCTAGCGTGCGTTGCAAAGGCTGAGGGTACCTAGCGTTGCAATGTATATCCACACAAGGACAACACACATTTCTTTAACAGAGCTAGCTTTCTTTGTTTCTGAAAGTAGGGATGTCATTTAGAACAACCTGAACCGAATATGTGTTCCATCATATTAATAAAATAGAAGATTTTTAACACTTAATAAAATAAATCAACACAAATATTCCATTTTATTTCTAACAGGTTGCATATTTTGTTTCGTTCCCAAACTTTTTACATTCCCCAGCTTTCTGAGGCAACTTTAAATGGTTCAACTACAATGGCCAAAGCAGTTTTATAGCGCTTCGAATCATTTGGATACAAGAATAAAATCTTGTTGCTGGCTGAACACAAGCAGTTGTTTGCCAACTGGAGTTAAATCTCAGCCTCCCCACCCCACATGTCGGTGTTGTTAAGCAAGAGTCTGAATCCTATGATAGCTTTAATTTACTGACTGATGTGTGAATTTAAGTGGGTGAATGTAGCTGGAAGTGCAGTGAGGCATCAATAACACAAAAAATGTGTAAATGAAGCACATTTACCATTCTCTTGAGAACAGACTCTTATTTGACCTAATCTTGAAAGAAAGAAAAAAAAAACACATAACACATAATAAAAATCTAAAACCAGTTTATGGGCTTACTTGGACATTTGTTTTAATGCAGAATGGCTCTGCACCCGTCATAAGTCGTTTTTTTCTTGCTATATAAATTGTTTTGGCTCAAAATTCTACGATGTAGAAAATTACAATGCAGTTTTGAAACCTTACAGTTTTTGATGAGGATAAGGAAAACATTTACTGATACAATGCATGCAGAATATGAGAAAATAGTGTGAATGGAGATGGAGGTTGGGCAGTTTAAAACTATCATTACTGCTGTCTCCCTCTAATGTTCATCACCTAGATAAAAAGCAGAAATATTTACAGCTGCAAGAACAAATGCAGCATGTACAAAAATTGGCAAATGACTTATTTTTTATTTCTAACTGACTCCACTGCAACATCTCTGAATCCAGCTGGATGTACTTAAAAGTGATGAATGCTGCTGTTACTTAAACCAAGTCCTTGCTGCTGGGGGCATCTAGGAATGTAAAAATGTGTTGCACCATTTTGAGTAATGTCCTACGATCTAAAGCAGGGATTTGAAACTTCAGGGTGGCAATGTTCTGCTACTTTAAGAACATCTGAATGAAATATTGACTACATGCTAAAGAGGTCATTCTGACCTGTTATTCAGGTGTGTTAGACCAAAGATGCATTGAGAAGTCCAGGACATTGATTGGTAGTAATTTGACTTGCTAGTCCAACACATCCCACTGTTGCTCAACTGGATTGAAATTGGAGGCCCTTTCAACACTTCAAACGTCTTGTTGTACTTCTCCAACTCTTCATGAATTATTTGTGCCTCAGGGCAGAGTGCATTATCCAGCTAAAAAAGCCCCAGTCATAGTCAAATATTGTTTCCATGAATAAATGTATGAATTTTGCATAATTGGTTAGGAAGGTGGTTTATGTTAAAGTAACAACAACTTGAGATAAATAAATAATAAATAAAAAATAAAAAACAG